TTTGCACACTGGACACACACACACACACACACACACACACACACACACACACACCTGGGCACCTGAGGAAAACATGCACAAACATACTTGGAAATGAGAACCATCTCACACTGCTGCACCTGGTCACACCTAACAGCCATGGCATTCAAGGCCTCTTGGCCTTCTGTCTCACCCTCCACCCTGTCCACCTCAGCCTCCTCTCCCATAGCCTGTCCCCATAGGTTGTAGGGACAAGACTACACCTGCATTGCCTGGCCAGCTCCAGGTTGGGAGCAGTGTGCTCAGATAGTCACAAGGACGCTAAAACAGGCAAGTATGTGAACAGGGACATGCCATCACCATCACGCTGTACCTTAACCTAAGCTGCTAAACTGCACCTGCCTTGAGAAACTCTATCCTATCTGGACCTGCCTCCTCCATCTCCAGCCAAGCACTGGCTTGTGTGGTATAACCTTTCCTGCTGCCCTGGAGCCAAAATGAGTGGCCACCCCCTTAGCAACACACAAAGGAGAATTTAGCCTGGGAATGGCAGAGCCCTCCTCTCCCCTCCCATGCCTGCTAAGTCCAGGCTGAGCACTTACCAGTGGCAGGTAGCAACCAGGGATGCTGGGGAAGTCGTGATGCTCCATATGGTAGCCCACATTGAAGGTGATCCAGTTGAGGGGTCCATAGTAGGAGTAAGTCTCATGGCCCTTCAGGAACATATAATGCTCAGCCACAAAGTGGCCAGAGATAGGGTGGAGGCCCAAGCCCAGGAAGGTGCTGGCTAGAAGGTAAACTATGGATTTGATCCCCCAGAGGGCAAATATGGTCAGGTCGACTGCCAGCTGCACCAGGGTGTTGAGCATCTCCATACGGGTCACCGTCTTGGGGTGTACATAGAGTGGCCGCAGAGAGTAGAATAAGGGTTGCAGTGCCAACCAGAGCAGCTTGCGGGCCGGTGTACAGAAGAACCAGCCTTCAAAGTCCGTGGGAATGTCCACATCCAGCCCGTCGCCGCCCAGGTAACGATGGTGGTCCACGTGGTACTTTTTGAAGGATGTGGCATAGGGTACACCAATGGGCAGATTAGCAAAGACAGCAAACCAGCGGTTCCGGGAAGCAAAGTTTGTGCCAAAGGCAGTATTGTGCGAGATGTCATGGATGGCCAGTGTCAGCGAGTGGTTGATGCAGCCACCAAAGGCATAAGACCAGAACAGCAGCCATCGCCAGGAGAGCCCCCGGACCAGCCAGCAGGCCAGCAACTGTGCCAACACCATTCCCAGCACCGTCCATTTGAGGTGGGGGTCTGGCCGCATCAGGGACTTGATGACTGGGTACTTGGCTACAGAGAAAACAAGAGTGATGAGTGACTTGGCCTTTATTCATTTAGTTAATTATTTGGGGTTACTTTGGTGGTGTTTTGAGACAGGGTTTCTCTGTGTTGCTTTGTAGCCTGTCCTGGAACTTGCTCTGCAGACCAGGCTGGCCTTGAACTCACAGAGATCCACCTGCCTCTGCCTCCTGAGTGCTGGAATTAAAGAGGTGCACCACCACCACCCGGCTGACTTGGCATTTATTGAACCCTCATCCTCTTGCTATCTCCTATCTTTTGCCCCCAATGGTTCCCTGAAAGCATACAGGATTTCACCCTATACCCTCAAGGGTCTTGGAGAGGCATGCCATATAGACACTTTGTGTCTTGCAAGAGTTGCAGCCTGGACTGTGGGGTGCTAAGGATTTCCTATCTCTGATCACCTTCAGGAAGAGGCTGGGAGACTTCCCAGGGTGGGGGAAATTTGCCACCAGCCTAAATAAAGCACAGGTGTACACAACAGCTCTCACAAAGATAATGATATGTTAGAGACCAAAGTAACACCAGAGCCACAAGCAATCTGCCTCCACCCCACGCCCACCCCCTTGTTCCAGTAAACACACATGCGTGTCATGTGTGACTGGGTTCATGGGCATGGCCAGAGAGGGATGATGTGGACTGGTCACTCCCAAACTCGTCAGGTACTTGGGGTGGTGAGACTTGGCTTGGGAGGCAGTCCCTAAAACAAATAAGCACTGCAAAAGAAGTGTAGCTAACAAACTGTCAACTGTCTCTTCAGGGCATCCAGTGTCTGTCCTTACACAGTTGGTGCATTTTTGTATCTTGACTTCTAGAAAAGGGACAAATGGTACACGTGGGAGTTAGCCAAGCCCGGAGGAAAAGACAGGCAAAGCAGTGACACATTTAGGTGCTGGCACCTCAAGACTAAGGGGTGGGGCAAGACAGCTGTGCCTTCTAGAAACCTCTGCAGAAGGCGGTGGCTGCATCCAGGAACAAAGGGTCATCAAAAACTTAGGGTGACAGATACCCCAGGTCTGCTCTGTCCCCTGGCTTCCTGGACAAGGACAGACATCCCAGAGATGGGGCCAGCACTGTCCTGCAGGATCTTATCCTAGGGCACCTCAGTATTAAATAGCACCAGTCCTCAGTATCAGCACCAACCTGAACAGGCAGTAGCCTCGACTTGCCTTGCCCAGGGCTGGTCTGTAGAGAGGGTCTCCCAGGAACATAGCAGGGCTGCGCCCTTCACTGGAACTGGCAAGACCATATGAACAGCAGTGATAGCTATGTAACATGTGACTGCCATTAATGCTTCCAGCTGTACACACCAAGTGGCAGGGTTAGTGGAGCAGTTCAGTTGCCAAGTGTAACACAAACCCTTGGATTCGTTCCCAACACCGCATGAGCGGAGTGTGCCAACACACACCTGTAATCCCAGCACTTGGGGGTGGAGGCAGGAGAATCAGAAGTTCAAGATATTGTTCAGCTACATAGTGAGTTTGAGGTAGCCTGTGCTGCATGAGACCATGAACAAATAAGTAGGCAAATCGTATATATGTTTTACCACAAGAAAAGAATATGTGGCCAGTGTTGGCCCACACTTTTGATCTCAGCGCTCAGGAGGCAGAGGGAGGAAGAGCTCCAAGTTTGAAGTCAGCCTGATTTACAGAGTGAGTTCCAGGGCTGTTACAGAGAAACCCCTGTCTCTAAAAACAAAAACAAAAACAAAAAAGGGAGGGAGGGAGAGAGAGAACTTGTAGAATCATACCTATGGTCCCAGCCACTTAGAAGCTGAGGCAGGAGGGTGACTTAAATTCAGGAGTTCCAGATCATTAGAGCAAGCAAAACTGAAATTCCCACTGTTTATACATTTCAGCTCCTGCTATGAGGTGGTGGCATACTCCTTTAATCCCAGCACTCAGGAGGCAGAGGCAGGTGGATCTCTGAATTGGAGACCAGCCTGGTCTACAGAGTGAGTTCCAGGACAGGCTCCAAAGCTACACAGAGAAACACTGTCTCGAAAAAAACCAAAACTGCAACAAAACAAAACAAAAACAAAGAGACAAGCCCATAGTGGCGCACACCTTTAATCTCCGAGTTCCAAAGGTAAAGATAGGTGGATCTCTGAGTTCGAGATCAGCCTCTACAGACCAGCCCTGGGTAAGGCAAGTTCCAGAACAGTCAGGGCTACCAGAGAAACCCTGTCTCGTGAAGAAAAAAAAAAAAAAAAAGAATTCCAGCTCCAAAATACCTCACCTGAGCAGTCTGGCATGATCCTGAGATAAAGCCTTGCTAGCTGCCTGAGGGATTTCAGGATTTCAGGGCCAGGCTAAGGCAGGCTGCCAGGGGCTGCTTGTCAAGGTTCACGGTGGCATGCGGTGTGATGATCACAGGCATGTACCATCAGGCATTAAATGTTTCCCTTTCAACATGGCCCACAGTTACTTAATGCAGGGCCCCAGGTTCCTGGAAGCACCTGGCTTTAGGAAACCAAGCTGCCCCCAGGCAGACTGACTATCTTCAGATGGAGGGGGCCATTTAGCACCAGTGGTGAGCAGAACAATACAGCCCCCCAAATGCCCACATGCTAACCCCATAACCTGTGACCACCTTAGGTAGAAAGTCAGGAAGAGGCGCATGTATCATGCAAGAGCTGGGAGCCAAGGGCTCAACGGGGCATGAGGAGAGAGGCCACCTGTCTTGGAACAGAGAGAAAGTTATGTGAAGAAAGTGGGTGACACCAGAAGCCAGGAAAGACCAGGGAACCTGCTCCCCCAGGGAGCTTCCAGAAGGAATGAATGCCCGAATGCTAATGTCCAGAGCAAAGGATACTATGAAGTGGCATGCACCCAAAACTGGTGACTCCATTCAGGATCTCCTCCTCCCAGCCTTGGGACAGAGGCCAGCCAAGTGGGGCCTGGCCTCTGAGGGCCCTGCTGCTCACCAGTACTGGCAGGATGGGTTAGCCAGGAAGCATCGTTCCTCTAGACTCAGCAGGGGTGTGACTCTGGGCACATAGGACAGACAGATATGTGAGCCACACTCTGGCCTTCCACTGGAAGGACTGCTGTTCCTACCTGGGGAGTTGGGGGTAGGGAGACAGGTGCAGGGCCAGGGCCAGGGTCAGGTTCAGAAGGAAGCCACCAGGAAGTGCCTCAGTGCTGCAGGAAAACAGAAGGGAACCCAGGATCATAGGGGAGGCAGCATGTGGTCATAACAGAATAGGGACATCTGCAGAAAGGCTTTGTCCCCACCAGGAAAATCACATGCAAAGTGTCTGTGTTTGTGCATGCCACCAGCTTCCAAGTCGCTGTGGGTGGCCTCTGTGTACCTGCCTCACCTGCTTAGCTTCCCTCAGGCAGCAGCCAGCCTCCCTCTCTCCTGCCCAGGAACCCACTAGTTCCAGCTAAGGATTTCCAGGAGGCAGCTGTCCTTGCTTCCCTTTGGAAGGGAACCAAGCATCAGCACAAGAGGGCAGGTTCAGCCACACCTGTGTCAGGTGATCCTCAAGTGAACTCCAGGGCAGCGGGGCCCAGGCCCTAGCTTAGGTATAAGCTAGCCCATGCAGGACATACCTAAGGACACAGTCTAGCAGCAGTGACTTAGATGGAGGTCTTCAGACTGTGGACTTGTACTGGGTGGTTTTGTGTGTCAACCTGACACATGCTAGAGTCATCAGAGGAAGGAGCCTCAGTTGTGAAAATGCCTCTTTGAGATCCAGTTGTAGGGCATTTTCTCATTTAGTGAAAAATGGGAGATCACACAGCCCATGGTGGGTGGAGCCATCCCTGGGCTGTGGGTCCTGCGTTGTATAAGAAGGTAAACTGAGCAAGCCATGGGAAGCAAGCCAGTAAGCAGCTTCCCTCCATAGCCTCTGCATCAGCTCCTGCCTCCGGGATCCTGCCCTGTGTGAGAGTTCCTGTCCCAACTTCAGTGATGAACAGCAATCAATGCTCAAGTGTAAGCCTAATAAACCTTTCCTCCCCATCTTGTTTTGGTCATATTTCATCACAGCAATAGAAAACCTAACTAAGACAGGGCTGCTTGCTGATTATAACCCTGCCCTTCCCTCTGCAAGAAGCTCTGTGTGCCCCCCCCCCCACTCCCAACAGCTCCCAATGACATGACCACCCTGGAGGGCCCTTCTGCCTCAGGTTCCCCACTGGACCTCCCATAAGAGGAGAAACATACCACATGAAAGGACAGTATTTCCCCTTCCCAGCCCATCCTGATGCCCCCCCCCCCCCCCCCCCCCCCCCCAAGGAGCCTCTTGACAGACCCTATTCAGCCCACACAGCTGCTGAACACCTCTGTCCAACGAGCCACTTACATCTGGGTGGGCATGGGCAGTGTCCAGCCTCTAGCCTGGACACCCTATGCATGCACTGAGAGTTTTCAACTCTGCTACATGGCCGGGAGCCCAGCCTTGATAGCCACCTAGAACTCCACAGCCAAGCATCCTCAGACTCAAGCCAGTGCGTCTCCCTACGGGAGAATGGCCACTGCGTCTAAGGAGGCCTGACTTAACCCCAGATTTGCCACTTTCGTGTGCATGCATGTGGGGGGTGGGGGGGCGTGTGTGCATCTGTTGCTAAGGACCCAGAGCCTATGAGACCCAGAGCCATCCACAAGACACTTTTGTTTTGTTTTTAGAAGCAGGGTTTCTCTGTGTAGCCCTGGCTGTCCTGGAACTTACTCTGTAAACCAGGATGGCCTTGAACTCAAGAGATCCACCTCCCTCTGTGTCCTGAGCCCTGGGATTAAAGGCGTGCACCACCATAGCCACCACCACCCAGCCACAAGACACTCTTAACCTGTACCTCTGAGGAAACCTTGGTCTCTCCAGAAATTCTCCTGATTTGTCAACTGTGTCATCAGGGACAGTCAAGAGCTGGACAAGAGGTTGCAGGGAGTGCTGCCAGCTTCCGGCCCCTCCAGCATTCCCTCCCTAGTGACCCATGGAGATGGTGACCTTTGGTCTGCAGTAGGGTCTCATCAGTG